GGGGGACGGACCCTTCTTCCTTCTTCCTGGCTGCCTAGACCCCACCTTGAGGCTGAAAGAGCAATTTGGGAGAGGAAACAGAGACTGGAACTGAGATTCTCAATGATGTCATGAGGCTGTACATCTGGGCTTCTTCAACACAAGAGAATACATAACCCATAAATAAATAAATAAGCATTAATTCATACACCAGCCAAGGTCATACCAATAAAACCCAACCAAAATCTCCGCCGTTGAGTGGATGCTGACTCATAGCCGGCCCCTGTGGGTTTACGGGACTGTAACTGTGGACAGGAGTAGAAAGCTCAGTCTTTCTCCCACGGAGCTGCTGATGGTTGTTTAGAACTGCCAACCATGTGCAGCACAACATGTAACTACTGCCCCACCAGGGCGCTAGGAGAAACCTTATGCCATTACTTACAACCTTATACCAATCTCACCTGTATTTTCTTCTAGTAATTTTCATCACCTACATTATTTATAAAGGAACCCTGGTGGTGTAGTAGTAATGCATTGGGCTGCTAACTGCAAGGTCAACAGTTCAAAACCACCAGTGGCTCTAAGGGAGAAAGACAGGACTTTCTATCTACTCCTGTAAGGACTCTCAGACACTCACAGGAGCAGTTCTACCCTGTCCTCTTGGGTCATCATGAGTTGGAATGGACTCAAGGAAGTGGATTTGGTTTGGCTTTGACACAGTATTTACATATATACATATATAGGCATGAAAGAACATAGAATCAAGATTCAACAGTTCATGAACAACACTAATAATTTTATGGCAATTTCTTCAAAATGATGATAACTGGGTCTACATGTCAATAACATTGTTAGACTGAATTTGAAAGAAGACTCTAATTAGTTTCATTCCATTGTGGAATATTTTTAAGAGTTAGATTATGAATCTTGACATACAATTGCTTATCATACAGATCTTGAGAAACAGCCCTCCTATCCACTTTCTGGGCTAATCGTGGATTTTTACCCCGAGAAGTAAATTATTAGAGGTTGTGAGTTTGCCTAAACATAATGTGTGACTCTATATTTAGTTGGGAACTTAAAAATATAGGTAATTGAATACATGTCCATGTCTGTGTAATTAAGGGAGACAGTACAGTGGAATTCTACTACAACTTCATCATTACTGGCGTTAACATATCTTAACCACAGGTGGAAAATTTTTTTTCCTTCTAGAACTGGATGATACATGTGAGGGGGCTTCAAATAGCTCATGGAAAAATCCCATGATCTTTTCATTCCATTTTTCCATGAACGTTTGGAAGCCCCTTTATATTACTCCTGGTTTTATTAGCATTAACCCCCTGTTGTCAAGTTGGTTGACTCATAGTCAGCAGACCAACGCTTCATCTGCTGCACCACTAGTGTGTCTTCTGTTAACACTAGTCAGATTTAAATGTTTAATTTACTGTAGCTGTTATTTACTTAATTAGCATTTATTAAGCACCTACTATATACTAGTCTTTGTATTTAATCTCACAGCAAGACAGGGACTATCATCCTTCTTGTAGAAAGGCGAAATCCCAAACTCAAAAGTGTGAATTCATTTGCCCAAGGTGCATAGAGTGTGTGGAAAGGGCAGCCTCTGAAAGCTATTGACTCCCAAGGCTCATCTCTGGTGAGCTGGTCCTGCAGGAGATAAGGGATGATGTTTCCCCAAGGCACTGCTAAAGAGGAGTTGGCACTTACCTGCCCCGCACAGGTTCGTTATGTTAATCCGAGCAGGCGGGGAACTGCCTTTTGAGTTGACAGCGGACACAGTCATAGCCCATCTCTCCATTCTAGGAATGACCCAGGTCCAGGAGTTATGTCTTGTGGTATTCTGTCGTGTGGCCTTCCCACCTGCCACTTCCTGTAAGGTCACCTGATAGTGGAGGATGTTTCCTCTTGCCTCTGATACACTCAGATTCTGTAACAGAAGACATCCACTTACTATTTGCTCTCCAGACATTCAGCG